CGGGGCGGCGCCCGGAGTCATGGCCCAGCGGCTGGGGGTGCACGAGCTGCTGCACGTCTTTTCCTTCCTGGAGGCCCAAGACCTGCTGTGCGCCGCGCAGGTGAACAAGGTGCGCCGCTCGGCCTGGGGCGCCTGAGGCCAGGGGTGTTGCCTTTGGGACTGTTTCGCGACCCTGGGGGAGTGCGCGGGGGCATCCGGCTGCTCCGGGTCCAGCGGGGGTGCCTTGGCGCCTTCGGTCGCCCACTGGTCCGGGCTGGTGCCGGTCCGGTCCGGGCTGCTGAGCCGCGCATCTTGACCCGGACCCGCGCTCCCTGCGGTCGTCCGCATTCACCCCTGAGGTTGGCTGAGGGATGGTTTTTCTTCTCATTTCCGGGCTTTCTGAAATATTCTGGAACGTTCTTCCTGTTTTTTTCTGTTACCGTCAGAGTTCGGAAGGGCACCTCCCGGTTTCCACCCATAGTGGCTCCTGGTTTTGTAGTCTCTGCTGTCCCTCTCCTGTCCCTCTCCTGTCCCGCTCCCTTGCCTTCTCCTTTTTGGCTCTGCTCACGAAACAGCCTCATCTGTTGCAGCTTCACTGCCACCTGCGTTCCAGGTCCTCTGTATTCTTTCTTTGAAGGAGGCAGCGCGACTTAATTGACTGTTAATAAAATGTATTTGTCTAATAACTGTTTTTCCCTGCTGGACTCATCCGAAGAGAGGGATTTTGCCTTTTTCATAACTAACTCTAGCACTCAGTGTCCCTTGACATTTAGTGCCCCATAGTAAATGTTTGTTGAATAAAAGGACATTCAAAGCACATTATTATTTCATTTAATGAAAGGGCTCGTAAATATACTCTTTTGAATACCATAATCATAATTTTAAATACATCTAGTACTTTTATTGATGTTATTTCATCTCTTGTTACTGATAAGTGATTTGTTTAAGGTAACCCACAGAATCATTCACTGGGCCGAAATTGAATCTCTGTTTTTACAGAAGTAAGGTAGGGCTAATCGAAAGGCCTAATTTGAAAGATGGGTGCATTATACCCTTTAATAGCACCATTTTCCCTGGTAATAGTTACTGCATAGGTAAAATGAGGTCGGTATTTCCTGCCTCATAATGTCGTTATGAAGACTATAGAATCTTACCAAGGATTCTCAAAGACGTTATAGTACTCTTTAGGAAATAAGATTTCATTTGGGTTTTGAACTATAACTAGAATGAAAAATACTCAAGATTTTTGGTTTGATTTTGCAAAATATAAACTTTACATCTTTAGTAGTTACTAAAGACCCAGGAGATTTTGATCTAGCAGATACATGAGGGTTATTGAAGGGGAGTCTAGGCTTGGAGAAGGTGTTGATTGCTTCTGCCAGGGCTAGGAAATACACTCTTCTGACATGGGACTGCAGAGCCACCAGACCACCTACGACTCTAAGTTACCCACTGCACTTTGTGCTCCAGAGTCCTGAGTGCCTTGGTTGGAGAGGCCAGGAAGTTCCAGGTGACAGTGTGGGCCTGAGGGAATGAGGACTAGACAGCACCCTGATTCCCATTCCACATTCAGAACCTTCCTGTGCCCCTGGCAGGTATTTCTGCAGAGAAGCTGTGAGAGAAAGGTCTGAATAGTTCCTTCCCTGGAAGGCTTTTTCATTCTCCATCTTGGCATCCCTGCAACGTCTCCTTGGTCAGTGCCTTAATTTACTCCATTGCTGCAGCCTTTATGGAAGGTCTTCTTTTCTGATATCATTTCACGTCCTTCCTCCTCACAACTGCCAAACTCCTATAATGTGGTTTGTTGCTGGAATTGCCGTAGTCAAAGTTCTCAAGTAACTTCTATTGTTTTTGCCATTGGGCTTTAGGGGATTGGTCTAAGTCAATGTCCAGCTCCTTTTCCCAACCAGAATCTTATGTGCTTGTGCAGGTAAATAAGCCATTTTTTTCCCCCACACTTTATCATATTTGCCCAGCTGTTCCATCTATGATGCTTCAGCTGTTCTCTTAGTAGTAACAACTATTGGTTCTTTGAAACTTGATCAGTAATCACTTTCTGAGCCCTACTAGGCCCTCTGAGTCTCTTCTTACTCATTATATGAATGTTTGTTTTTTGTACCAGGAATTGAACCCAAGAGTGCTTAACCATTGAACCACATCCCCACATCTCCAGAACCCAGGGCACTTTACCACTGAGCCACATCCCTACCCCCTTTTTAAAAAAATTCTTATTTATTTATTTAGGTAGTTGTAGATGGACACAATTTCTCTCTCTCTCTCTCTCTCTCTCTCTCTCTCTCTCTCTCTCTCTC